GGGGTCCCTCCCGGGTGTTTTAGGGGGGTTTTTGGGGGGATTTTCAGGGTTACCTCCCGGATGTCGGCGGCCGGCAGCGCCCCCGGCAGGTCCTGCTTGTTGGCGAACACCAGCAGGGCGGCCCCGGCCAGGCGCTGGGGGGGCAGCGGGGTCAGCCCCTGTCCCCGTGTCCCCCCCGTGTTCCTGTGTCCCCCCTGCGTCCCCCCCGTGTCCCCGTGTCCGTGTCCCGTGTCACCTCCTCGCGGAGCAGGGCTCGCAGCTCGCGGGCGCACAGCCGCAGGCGCTGGGGGTCACCCCGTGTCCCTGTCCCCGTGTCCCCGTCCCCATGTCCCGTGTCCCCCCCGTGTCCCCGTGTCCCCCCCGTGTCCCCGTGTCCCGTGTCCGTGTCCCGTGTCACCTCCTCGCGGAGCAGGGCTCGCAGCTCGCGGGCGCACAGCCGCAGGCGCTGCCGGTCGCTGCTGTCGACCACCCAGAGCAGCGCGTCCGTGCTCTCGAAGTAATTGCGCCAGTAGGAGCGGAGGGAGCGCTGCCCGCCCACGTCCCACACGTGCAGCTGGAACCTGGGGTCACGAGGGGGTCAGGGGTCACACAGGGGTCACAGGGGTCACACAGGGGTCAGCGCTGCCCGCCCACGTCCCACACGTGAAGCTGGAACCTGCCAGGGGTCACACGGGGGTCAGGGGTCACACAGGGGTCACAGGGGTCACACAGGGGTCAGCGCTGCCCGCCCACGTCCCACACGTGCAGCTGGAACCTGGGGTCACGCGGGGGTCAGGGGTCACACGGGGGTCAGTGTGGGGTCACAGGTCACAGGCGGGCACAGGGGTCATGGGGGGGTCACAGGGGTCATCAGGTTGAGCAGCATAGCCCCTCCCCCACCCAATAGTCCTTCCCCACGGCCCCTCCCCCATCGCACAGCCCCTCCCCACAGCCCCTCCCCCTCCCCACAGCCCCTCCCCCACCCGCGGTGCTCCAGGGTTTTGATGTTGAAGCCCAGGGTGGGGGAGGTGCCCCCCACGTCCTCCCCGTTCAGCCGCTTCAGCAGCGTCGTCTTCCCGGCGTTGTCCAATCCCCTGCGAGGGGCGGGGCCTCAGGACACGCCCTGCCCGGGACCCCGCCCCTCCAACCGGGACACGCCCCCAATGGCCAACAACAGCCACACCCACACCGCCCATAGCCCCGCCCATAGCCACACCCACCGACCCCACGCCCTCCTAAGCCCCGCCCCCACGGCCACACCCTGAGACCCCCACACCCTCCTAAGCCCCGCCCCCATGTGCCACACCCCCTGAGACCCCTCCCC